CAGGTTCACAAGGAAATAGCATTTCAGACAGTCAAGTGTGGAAAATCACATCAGGCATGTGGTGGCCGAAATCGTTGATGCAGTGCTGGAGGCGTTCTTGGAAGTTCGCGTAGACTCTCTCCAACATCGCTCTCTCAACTTGGGCGACATCCACGCGAATTTCGCCCTTCAATTCGTCCAGAGTTCGGGGCTTGTTCGCGTATACTCTAGCCTTGAGGTTCTCATTTTGATCGATCAGTGCTTCCATCTCACGTTCGAAGTTCATTCGTTGTGCATAATCTCCGGGCTGTAACTGTTGCACAATGGCCAATTTGTAGGAGTGAAAGCGGAGATCCATATGCAAAATTCGCCTTACCGAACGATCACTAAGGCGAAGTGCAGCAGCATGTTTCCGGGCAGATCGAGTCGGACTGCGAAGAAAGACCTGTCGAACGCGTTCAACATTTTCAGGAGTTCGAACTGTTCGCGGCGCTCCTCTTGGTCTTCTGTTGATCAGTTCACCACGCCTGCGAAGTGATTCAATCCAACGAAGGATGGTGTTCCGAGAGGGAACAGCGCTATTCCGATGAATGTTGAAGTGGCGACGAAACTCACGCTGTACGACGATGAGTGACTCATTATTTCGGACGAAACAATCATAGGAGAAAACGCGGTGCTCCACCGTCCAAGGCTTCATACCGACAACTGGTAAAATAATGCTAGGATCTCACGAGTCAAACGGCACCCTCCACACCTCTCTCGTAGACGGAGGCGGAGAGTACTACCCATCCCAAAAACGTCCGTCCTCTCTGCCGCACCCTGTACATGTGCATGAAAGCAAATAGTGTATGGTTGCTGTATTTTACTCTCGTAAAAACATACAAAATATTTTTTTTGAGGAAGTTCAATTTTGATTTGCTTTTTATACTTATAGAAATTCTGTATAGCTACGGTCCGTACGCAATAAAAAAATGTCATTTCCCATTTATTAACATATAGTTGAGGAAAACCTGTGTACCGTATTGTCTGTACACGCGCAATAGAAAAATATACTTTTCATTTTTCTACCTATTTTCTCCTTGAATCAATCGAATTCCAACAACTCTAGCTACTGATTTCGCGGTTTTCGGATCGGCAATACTGGCATTATGTTACAGGTTGGGTAGTTTTTAGGGTCATTCTACGTTTGTGAGCGTCCATCTATGGAGGAATGACTCAATTACACGCATTGTTGGTTGCATATGTTTTGTGAAGCCGAGTAGTCTGTAGTTTTCATCTCTGGGAAGAACATTGGTTGAATAGCAAAATCGCATGTGGATGATTGAAGTATATCTATTAGCTGTGCCCGACAGGTTATTTATATATTGTCCTTTCTGAAGACAGCTTATGTTTAAAATTATAAATTACGATTTTTTACGTTTTTTGTATTTTCAAAACCTTTGAAGAGAATTACGGGAAATCACCACCGCGCCCGAGTTGTGTGGAATTACTGATAGCATGTATATGACTTGTAATTCAACAGTGTACAGTGAATATAATTATTTCTTATCTCTCTCATTTTTGAAATTCAGCAAATTTGCATAATTACTAATTTCCAAAATAGATAAGAAAAAGGGGATGCGAAACTAATTTCTAGCTTTGAACCTCAAGTAACTGTACTTGAGACAAGAATACAATGGAGTAATCATCAACACATATTATTAGCACACAAATCCTCACTATACACCTATGTATTGCCGTTTCCTTTTAGCTATAGTATATAACTTACAGCTTAGACCTCCAGTAATGCCATCTCGGAAGCAAACATTGGGCAACACGTACAACTACAAAACGAGTTCACCACGTGTCCATCAGCTAGTACTAAGTTAACATCTTGTAGAAAAACCTACATAATGTCACAAAAAACCAATACAATGTTAAAAAAACGGCACAATGTCACTTTTTAAGATACGTAATACCCGTGCAGTTTGATCGTACAAGAAAGGCGGAACATGACTGACATGTAACAGAAACAGTGTCAAGGCCGATATGTGGATAATACAGTATAATTGCATGTCAAATATCATTCAAGTGATTTGACAGGTCAAGAAACGTCACGTCTACAAAAACATACAGGGGAGGATCGTAAGGAAAATATATTACTGGGAACCTATATTCTTCACCTTTGTTCCTCAATATATCTGGAACTGTCCATTAGATAGACTTGTGCCCATACAGCATACTACAAACTCAGCCAATTCAACGTCTGCTATATGGTTTGTGCAGCCCTCTTCCAAAGAGCTTTTAAACATCGGATGTTCGATATTTCTCGCGATCGATATATAGGGTGTTAATAAAGTATGTAGACAAACTTTAACCATCGAATCCTTAGTGAATTTGAAGATAGAATTTCCATATGAACATGGGTCCGCAACGGCTTTGTTTTCCAGCTAGAGCATATTAGCACTAGAAGAATATGTAGATAATAATTATCCAAATCGATCGATTAGAAGAGGCCGCCTAGATTACCTGACATGAATCCTATCGATTTCTTTTTATTATTAATTATTAGTATACAAGACTTCTGATTAAAGCATGAAGGACTTAAGAGTCAGAATTGTCGACTCATGCCTGACTATACAAAATACTCCGGGTATTTTCAGGAGAGTTCGTCAGTCAATGTGTAACAGACTAGACGCCTGTATTGAAGTCGAAGGTGGCCATTTTGAACATTTATTGTAAAAAAAACGAATTCGATATTTTCTATTGTTGTCGTTCTATTCGAATGTTACTGTTCAAAACTATTGACGATCTAAATGATTTCTTCTTTCAAAAATACAGGATAATACTAAATTCATCCACGTTAATATTGAGCCTCAGCAACTTGTAAAATATGCAAAATTTATCATAGGTTATGCCAACTGTTCCATAAATACGTTTCATTATTGATAGAAATATTTAGAACATTACTCGTATTTCTTCAGTGATAGTGCTCTAGCTCGAAAAGAAAGCCGTTACCGACCCATGTTCATATGAACACTTAGTCTTCGAATTGATCAAGGATTCGATGGTTAAAGTTTGTCTACATACTTTATTAACACCCTGTATAGTTTTCCGCCATCGCTAGAGAGAACTCGAAATAAAATTGTGTATACGTAAAAAACGATTGTACATGGAGAAAATACTTTGTCTTCCATTTTCCTATGTACTGAGCTGTTTAGTAAGGAAATTAATCTAACTTAATAAAGATCTTAATCGTCCTGAATAAGCAATCATATTCCTCAGCAGTGACCCAAACAGTCACGTCCAAAACTTGCACATAAACTTTGGCTTGCAAATCTAGTCAAACTATAATCATACGTAATTATTACCGGAGATATTTGGGTCTAGACCAACCCGAGGTGAATTTAAATTTTATCGATTAACCGTGCGATTAACGTAACGTCACATACAAGCACTCCGTTAGCAATTTAACGCTTCGGGACATTTAGATAAGAATGTGAGTTTATAATGGATTTAGATCCAATAGCTGCCAGTCATTACTCATTTTCTGAAAGACGAAACGTGGGACAGCGTGTATACAGGGTGTCCGCAAAGTTGGGGTTTTCCTTTTCAGAAACAACTACCCTTGAAATAACAAAGGTAATGTGTAGTGAAACGACAGCGACCAAGTAAAAAAAATAAAGGAAAAAGTACTCACTCTCCAGTTGACGAGAAGGGCTAAGTACGTCTCTGCCCGAAATCATACCGCTCCAACAGAAAATGAAATCAGCTGATGCACTACCGCGCAGACGCCGGCGGTGGTGCAGACCATGAACAGAGGTAACAAATATAACAAATTTGGGAGAATAAATGGTCCAATGAGCATACCGTTCACCATGCCAGCCCAAACATTCACCGAAAATGTTTGTTGAAAATGTGCCCGACGGACAGCGTGCGGATTTTCTACTGACCAAACATGAGTGTTGCGAAAGTTATTCGCCCCATTACGCGTGAACGTAGATTCGTCTGTCACCAATATGCACTTCAAAAAGTCCGGATTATTGTCATGTTGATGCAACAACCACTCACTCAGGTTGAAGGGCTTGTACACGTTGGACGTGAAACAGATACAGCCCCTCTTCACGCAGCGTTCCCTTCAAAATTTTAAATGACAAGCACTAACAAGTAACAACTTGTTTGAAAGGTCTTTCGAAGTCCTTTATTTTGACGTTTGATTTTTTTAAATCAGTCGATTCGTTTTCGAGAAAATTAGAAAAATCGATTTTTACAATGTAAACAGCAATTCGGAAGATTAGACCTGGCAACAACCAAACAACAACCCGAATTTTTTCCGCATACTTTTCATCAACACAGATATCCTAGGCGAACTGTATTTATAGTTATACCTGTTTAGTTATTTGCTACTAAGGGAAGAAAAGAATTTAATTTGGGATATTGAAAATAAATTAATTGATTCAGATTTTACTTTAAAAATGGTTTACACACTTGCCGAAAAAGTGGAGATGATTCTAATTTATACTTCGCATAGGTATGTTTTGGACCTTGTTACTAAATTTACGCAAACTGGATCTGTTGCAAATAGAAAACGTGATCATCGGACTTGGATAAAGCAGTTCAATTTGAAGTTTTGGGTCATTTTGGAATAAACCCTAATACTTCATTACGCAAAATTGTTGCTGCGACTGGTATTTCATTAGGCTCTGTATACACAGTTACTAAACTCCATAAATTCCATCCACTCTAAATGAAAATATTGCAAAAGTTGACCGAATATGATATTTTTCACTTCATTTAGAGACTGCATTGTCTCTTCTAGGGATATCTCATAAAATGCTATAGAGTTAAGTACTGTTTCGTCCTCAGCGACAAGAGAGAATGAGGTTATGTCGTTTTCTTAATATACCAGGCACGTTACCCTCGCCCATCGTCCCGAAAATGCCAAAAGTCGAGAAAGCCCTCCCAGGCTACGTTTCAGGTGTTACATTGCTGATTATTTCTGGTGTGAAGTGAAAACAAAGTAAAATGCGTTTTTATTTCAGATATACTGTGATGGCGGGAACGCCGCAGAAAATGCTAGAGCACCTGCTGGAAACACGACTAGACGGAAGAGGGGTAACGCCAGGAGGAGAAACATTCATAATGAACACAGCTCAAGACCCGTTTCTGGATGACTTTCTGCTCACACATGTGGTGTTCCTCCCTACCTATCAACTGGTCGAGCAGCTGGAGAGATAATATCCTTTTCATACCGCAGGCATTTTACAAATGAATACCCCATTGAGCATTGTATAGGATCTAATTCAAGTAAACCGTGGATAATATCGAGTTTCAGCAACTACTCGATCGAGAATCTAGTGAAAACGCTCAATATGCCGTTTGGAGTCAAAATACTGACATGCCGTCTCAATGAAGATTTTGAAAAGCACCGCATTTCACTGATTTGAAAAAGAATAAGTCTAATGTCAGTTATCAATTCAACCTTATACAAGATGTTTATTGGATAGAACTTAGTAGGGTGTAGGTCCCACGTATGATTTTTGATACGATCAATCACCTTAAGAGTGGTACTCGTAAGGAGATGATTTATTGTATTCTAAGGCCCGATTTTACTGATCCGGGCTACAAAATTTGCGCCTATGCACAAATTCAACCAACGGCAATGCAGTTTGAAGTAATGGATGTAATGAAGATGATCGTGAAATATCTCTCAGACTACGGAAAAATTAGCTTTGCTTCCACCTTGTGGTGAGAAATCTGTTTAGAAATCCGACACGTGGAATAGTTTTAACAGCCCGAGAGCTTTTAAAGCATAATAAAAATACGTATTAATTTAGGATTTGTGAAAGCATTTTCCGGTGCTTTGCGGTTGTATTTTCCCAAAAGGCGTAATAAAGATAATATTACTCGTCGAACTGCATGTTAGGGTTTCGTATATCTGCGTTGCAGGTAACAAAAAAGTCATAAACCAGACTCTGAGGGTAGTTCTAACAGCTATAAACACACATGTGTTTTGATTTATAACTTGAGAACCTCTCTGGGATCATATCGGGTTCTGAATTGATCATTTGCATAAATCAATCATCTTCGATTTCGGCTTGTACGGCATTCTGAACATTTTTGTCTCTCTCCGAAATTTGTTCCGGTTTTTTGCGCCTACTGTGTTGTACTGAAGTCTAATATTCAGTCAATTTATCCCCATCACCCACAAGCTTTTAGAGAAGAGAGAATATAAAATATGAGGATCCCAAAATTATAAGCGATCTGGTGGTGAATTTTTCAAGATTAAAAAAACAACAAATCCTCTTTTTAGAGAATTCACTTCTTATTGTATAAAAACAATCAAACAATTCATTTGATGGTCATTTTTCGCTTGTATTCGCAAGGAGCGGTTTCACGTTTAATGGTCCAGCAGTAGCCCGCCAGCATGTTTGTGGTTCATTTTCCACTATAGCGCTTCTCCGTCCAAGCAATTTGCTGGTGAAATATTTCGCCTTGCTCGTCTGAAACTGCACCCAAATTTTCGGGGAAGAATTCTAAGTGGTAGTCCAAGACGTAGAAATTTTCACACCTTTTTGTTCGATTGCTGCAAACGAGATCCAAGTAGTTGTGCTTTTCTTTTGAAAAGATCTGAATCACGAACTAGATCATTGAGCTCTTCCTGAGATATAAAGTGTGGCTGTTTGCTGCTATTACATTCGAAAACGTCTTCAAAACTTGGACCGGCTTGTGGTTCCTGTGTCAGAATTATTCTGGTTCATAATTATTTCTTTGTAGGCTTAGGAACAGGTATGCTAGAAGAGTCATGAGAAACAAGTCTACTGGCTGGGGAGATATTAGGATACACATTTTATGCTTGCTTTTACTAGAAAATCCCAGAATTTTTGTTAAACATAAGTAACAGTCATCAAAATTATTCTTAGGTTCCCACCAAATCATTGGCACTTCAAATTTCATAGAAGTGTGAGTAACCCGTAGCCTTCCTGCTGAGGTTCTTGAGCAAGTGCGCTCATATACCCGGTGCTGAATACTGTAATGGTGATCCTCCAACAAGCGGCCGGCTGGTTATATACACATTTCGAACATCTGGTATTTTCTAGAAACAGCGACATTCCAGAGATCGGAATCGATTGTTGTATACAGGCGCCATTCAATAAGTCACTGTCCAACGACTAGAGGGTACGATGAAATCTGGAATTACATGGGGTTCAATGGGTATCTCCTTTACTTGAAGCCCTAGGAGGTTGATACTTCATAGATGAGCGACATTCCCAGATACCCGCGATTGACAGATTGTACATACTTTCCCTAGACTAAGAGAAAACGTAGACTTGACAACGTCATCCCCATTATGCAATACCCGTGTTAGAAATGAAGACACCAGTTTTTCCAAAAAAATTCTTTTTATTTTTCAACATAATCCCCTTTTAGAAAGATACACTTTTCCCAACGTTCCTGCCATTTTCTTTACCCCCCAAAAAATAGGATTTGTCGAACTCTCCAAAATACGCCTCTGTCTCGGCGATGACTTCCTCGTTTAAGCTAAGTTTTCATTCTTTCTCAGCGATTCAGTATGGTGTTGACGATCAGCAAAAAACTCTGTAGTTTTTCTCCGTTAGTTGGTTTCCTATAAAACATATCTTCTTCAAGGCCACTCAAGATACCTTCTTCTAGAACGTTACCTGTTCTGCGTGATTCGCTTTTCTGTTTCCGTTGAGGTCGTGGTGCAGGGGTCGTTTCATCATTTTCCGGACTCTGGGATATTACTCCCCTAGCACCCTTTTTTTGTGTAACTTAAGTTTAATCATTTTGGTTTGAGTGCCACGTCTTCCATTTTTTTTATGAGATTTTGACCCTCAGCTTCAATAGAAACAGAAGAGAATCATCATCCTTTCTCCTCCAGTTGGTTGCATCTGGTTGCAGTTTTGCAAATTGATGGAAGCCATCCCGTTGAAAGAAAAAAGGTTACGTGATTTTGGCACGTGACAGATTTTCGTACAGGACAGTGTAATTAGTTCCTCTGTGCCATTCGTGTTTCCTTAATATTGTCCATTTCATTGGTTATAAGACTGACACCCTTATAAAATGATACTATGACAAAAGAGCTAAAATCTGGCAATACATACTAACAGTGTTATTCCTTAACACATCCGTCGTGCACCTATAGGATAGACACATGCAAACAAGAAGATCGCGAGTTTGCTTTGGCCTGCAAGCGGCGTGTGGTTCATTTTGTGTATCGTTGGGTGTCCGCGGTACGACATCCAGTTTTTGAAGACGAAGCCGCAGCGGATTTTATTGCAGAGCTCGCGGATGAACTAGAGGAGGATGTCATGAGGTACGGCGCGCTAGAGGAGGAAGCGGCTATGATGCATCATGTCATGACGCAGCTCAGGAGGTTAGTTCAGACATAAGGTTTTTTCCAGCAAGCAGCTCCCATTTCAGAACTAATTCCAAAATAGTTTTCTGTGCATAACCTAGATTAGTGCAGTTCAGAACTAGTCCAGAACTATTATATTGGAACAGAGAATTGCATGGCTTGTATAAGATGAAGTAGAATTTAAAATTATCAAGTTTTCGTCTGCTATACGTGAAACTGCTGATAACTCATTCGATTTATTATATAACTTGAAACCTTTATTTTGTGTAGATTATTTATTTATTTTATTTATTCATTTACATATACACTTCTCAACAGCAATAGCCATTTACAGAGTAGGATACAGTCCGGACAAAAAAACAATTATTTATAATACACGCAAGAACGGGTATTATGTTATATACAGGGTGGCCCATCCATGTGTGGACGGAGTATTACTCATAAACAAATACATTTTGGAAAAATCTATTTATGGGATGTTATACATGACATTTAAGGGCACATTTATAAAATATTGACCATTATACAGGGTGTCCCAATTTCGACCTATATATCAAAGTTGTGATTTTTCAAATAGAATGCCTCAAATTTTATTGGATATTTGGATAAACCAATTCAAAAGAAGAAAGCTGATATAACATACTATGGGGTTTTGGTAATTAGCTATTGAGGTATAATTTTTTTTGTCCAGAAAAACACTCCACTTCGGCAACCCCTCAATCCGCCATTTTGAAATTTGGAGTGCTGAATTTTGTATCGAACAACCTCAGCTTTTATCTTGTTTGTAACTTTTTCGAATTTTAATTTTTGCTCAATCAGGGTGGTCAAAAACGGAAATTGTAATTTTTCTCTGAAATTTCAAATGCACCACCCTGTATATTTGTGCAAATTTGGATTCAATTTTTTATAAGCTTTTTTCGGTTATTAGCACGTCTTTTATCGAACGGCTTCATTCCCTAAAATATCGCATCATCCTTGGAAACAAATAAATTAATAATAATAATAATAAAATGTCTTTATTAGGCACATTATATAAACTACAACATAATGTGACCTCTACGTAGGCGAAGTCTAGCTCTTGGCTACTCTACTTAACCTACCCAAATAATAAATTGAAATACTTAATCAAAGGAAACTTTGACAAGCAGCAAAAGACGCTTCAAAACAATGAGCTGGATAGCTTCCTGACATACATAATATATACACACATATATTACGTAAAAATAAAATAAAATGTAAGAATTAAAAACTAACTTTTCCACAATTACTACAATGACAAATAAATCTGTTTCACATGCTTACGAAATCTGTTTACTGGCCAATCCTTTATATTGTCATCTAATTCGTTATAAATCAGGATAGCATTGTAAGTGTATGAACTACGAAATAAAGTTGTTTTATACATAGGGATCTCTAGTCTTTTTTTTTGTGTCTGGAATCAATGTCTGAATTATTTCGTCTGAAAACAAATTTCTCAAAGATACAAGGGGGATCGAGAAGATATGATCTTATGTCTAAACACTGCTATATGGTACTTGCAAGCATTTTCTATGCACATCCAACCAAGCTGAAATCTCTTTAAGGAAACATGATCATACTTCTTGAGATTAAATACAAATCGACAACAAGTATTTTGGAGTTTTTGGAGTCTTGCTTTTGTGATAGAATCAAGACAATGATAGAACACAGTGCTACAGTAAAATAAGCTTGGAAATATAATAGCCTCACATAACTTTTTTCTAACTTTAAAATTCAAAATAGAGCGATTGACATAAAAACACTTCAAAGTTGCATAACATTTTTTTAAGATAGACGAAACATGCTCCTTAAAGGTTGATTAGTTACAAACAAAATTAGCTTTGTGAGCATTACAATAGAAACATGTTTGAAAACGAATTTTTCTAAAGAAGAAATGGTGAATATGGTACTCGTTTTGGGCGAAGCCCAAAGAAATAGTTTCCTAGCATCTCGCATTTATAAGCAACGGTACCCTAACATGCGACATCCAAGGCCGGAAATATTTTCCACACTACGAGAACGTTTTGATTCAATTGGAGCAGTGTATATAGTAAACATTTTTAAATAATCCAAGTGTCACTAATGAGGCGAATCAGTTGGAGGTTCTATTAAAGTTGCAGGAAATTTCCCATTTAAGTGCACGGCAAATTGGAGCAGAAAATGATATATGCAGAACTTCTGTCCAAAGAATTATTCACAAGCATAGGTACCATCCATACCACCTATGCTTACATCAAGACCTTCGTCCTCAGGATTTCGCAGCTCGAATGGAGTTTAGTAGAATAATGCTAAATATAGTGAGTGAAGACACTTCTTTCCTGGATAAGGATCTTTTTAGCAATGAGGCAACTTTTAACAGCATAGGTTTTTTCAACAGGCATAACATGCACTATTATGCGACGGAAAACCCCCTTACTGGGTTAGGCAAATAGATTTCCAAAATAAATGGAGCTTGAATGTTTGGGGAGGAGTTATTGGCAGACAAGTTATCGGTCTTTTCTTCTTCGACAACAGATTAACAGGTACAGAATACTTGAGTTTTTTGATCAAGCATTTGCCTTTGCTTTTGGAGGATGTCATCCTGCAAACTCGGATGCATATGTACTTCCAACGTGACGGCGCACTTGCGCATTATCATAATCGTGTGCGTAACTATTTGGACACCTGGAGTAACAATTGTTGGATCGGTCGTAATGGGCCTATATCTTGGCCTCCTAGATCACCAGATATGACACCGATGGACTTCTTTCTATGGGGCTACGTTAAGCAAGAGGTTCATAGATATCCATCCTTTAAACCCCGGAAAATATGAAGGAAAGGATTAAGGATGCTTTTCTGAATATATGAGAACACATGTTGCGGGATGTACAACAGTCATTTATCCAAAGACTACGGGTGTGTATTCAACATGGTGGAGATATTCTCGAGCAGTTTTTGTAGATTAGGTCTTGAGCACTGATAGTTGTTTGTTTATGTTGTTGTTATAGTTGTTTTTCTCTATTACGCCTGAGGCTGATTTATAATGTTATGATTGTTATTAGTTTTTACGTCAAATCTGTACTCTTAGGCCCGTATCGTCAGTCGTCCCTACAATTGTAGGGCGCGTTTATGGCCTCCTTGATTGTCATACTTCTTTCTCTCCTTCAAAAATTTCTAGATTACACTTGTCCCGTGTCAGCGTCAGCGCTCACCTATTGTGAAGATATGTTTTCTTTTTGAATTGTAGGAAATTTCAGGCTGATAAAACATGATATAACTCAAAAGCAAGCACAATTTGATGCAAATAGATGTTTGTGTCATAACCTCAAAATAGAGCGCTGACACGGAGAAGTAGAAAACTATGACAATCAAGGAGGCCATAAAGGCGCCCTACCATTGTAGGGACGACTGACGATACGGGCCTTAGTTGCAATATGGAACAAGCCCACTGTTTGTCTTATGTTTCGATGGATGATGTGATTTTCTTCCTTAATTTTGGTGTGTTGTTCTTATTAAAGCTTAATAACTCAAAATCTAATGTTTTTATCTGAATCAAACATTATACCAAAAAACGCTTATGAAAAATTGAATCCAAACTTGCACAAATATATAGGGTGATGCATTCGAAATTTTTGACCACCCTGTATGAGCAAAAATTAAAATTCGAAATAAAATAAAAGCTGAGGTGTGTAAGTTTTTTTTGATACAAAATTCAGCACTCCAAATTTCAAAATGGCGGATTGAGGGGTTTGCTGAAGTGGACGGTTTTTCTGGACAAAACACCTTACACCTCAGTAGCTAATTAACAAAACCCCATAGTATGTTATGTCAATCTCCGTCTTTTGAATTGGTTTTCCATTTAAAAAATCACAACTTTGATCTGTAGGTCAAAATTGGGACACCCTGTATAATTGATAATATTTTATAAATGTGCCCTCAAATGTCAGGTATAACATGCCATAAATAGATTTTCCCAAAATGTGTTTGTTTATGAGCAATATTCCGTCTACACATGGATGGGCCACCCTGTATAGTGTGCTTAGCTTATATATAAACAATGAATATTATTTATATCAAAATAGCTGAACAAATCTATCAAAATGATCAATGAAGTTCCATTTCTGGACCTTGAAGGTTGTATAAATAACTCAAGATCTTCATCCTCACTTGAATCTATTCTAAAGTCATATTTTTTATCCTCACCCATTTTTTAATATGTGTAATGAACGGCACAATAAGTGGTTAAGATTTAGGTTTTATATTTTATAATTTTTTAGGCAGTTTGGAAACTTGGTTTAAAAATATTTCACTAAATTGTTAAATAATTACACGAAAAGTGTGACTTACAACCGTCATAACTTTTATATTTTTCACTCCAATAATATGACCCCAAATGCATTTTGCGTTATTTTGATGGCCAATCAATCGATCCCATCCGTTTCTTACAACTGCAAGTATGTGAAATATCAAAACTACCCTCCTTCAGTCCCACTTTTGGGGGTTGATTTCTCCACTTAAAACGTCTTACCATGGGTATAAAAAATGCGAGTCTCTCAGACTGTCACGTAGAATCTCATCAAACAGGAAACGGAGATATAAGACGGTTTCCTTCTGGATATATTTAGCTAGTAATTTAATCATATTAGCAAATTCTCCGAAATAATTGTAGTCTGGTTTTATTGGTGCAAGATGTTGAAGGGGATATTTAAAACATGGACGCATAAAATAGGTACACCATTTTTTGTGGGAAAACTTTTTATTCGACAACAAAGAATGAGAAAACGTGTTTTTTGGGATTCAATCGAAAGTGTTGACAGGAACGAAAACACTTTTTATGTAAGATTTTAGGAATTTATGAGACCTACAGAATGAGACTACACGTGAAAAGATCCGACTAATAGCAAAAAAACCAGGCAAAATGCAGGTTTTCGCACTTGTTGGTAATGCAACGATAATTTTACGCAACTACTTGAAATTCTTCAAATCCGCAGGATTCATACTTCTGAATAACACAGCAAAATTGGAGTATAATTGTCA